TAAGGCGTAGGGAACAAGGCAAACATCAGTATAAGAGTGCATTGCGCCCTTATCGAAGTAGAGCGGAGAACGGGTCCATTAGGGGATCATTTTTCAAGGGGGTCGGCCATACTTGATCCGCAGATCAGTTAGTCCGAAGATCGGCATGTTCTTAATTCACTCATTGACCCTTTCACCAAAGAAGCTGATTGATTAAAGTAAAGGGGGCGCACGCTGGTGAAAGGCAAAAAGCAGCAAAGAATTAATGAAAACTCAAATACTATTATTATTATTATTTTTGTTATTATTATTATTCTATTGTGCTGTAATAAATATAGCAAAATAAGTAGAAAGCTGATTTTTCTTGTGCATGCCATGGGAATATGCTTTGGTTTTAAAAGGAATATACGAAGTGCAATCTGGTTTTAATGACTTTTAATTGGGACATCAGCTCTTCATATGAATCCGTCTAGCTAATTAAGAAAACAAAAATACGTGGTTGATTTTAAGTCATATAACAACAATTAAAAACATTATCTTATCTTCATATTTTCGAAATTATCACCTGTAGAAGAGTTTTACGCTTCACGAAAGATGCACATATCAGCATATCCAAGTTTTGTCACAGCAACGGTCAGTGGTACGTCTGGCCTTATCTGGCTGCTACTAAGGCTCTAAGGCGGTAAGGTTTTGCTCCTGACAGTTTTCTTCGGGTTTGAACTTGAATACTATTCCAGGCATCGGTTGGAGCTTGTCCAATTTGGTTCAGATTTGTTGTAGGACCAAATTCGGCGAGTATTGGCTGACTAATAATGGCGGTTTTGATGGCCACGGTAGCTGTTCAGGGCCTTGGTTCTGCAAGTACTCTGTAAATGCTAGTGTTCCGCGTAGACTGACATTTTCCTCTTGTAAAGTGATGTTGTTCTTTAAGTTCCTCTTGCAAATGCGGGCGCGTACGGATACACACCCTGAAACCCATGGCGTGTTCCGAACTACGGTGAACGTTGGATCCTTCCGTGACGTTTCTAGTAGTTTGGTAGTTGGGTAGACCTAGAATTTTTTGAATGAACCTTGCTCTGCCATAGTCAGACTCAGACCAGCCGAAAGAGCACCACCCAAAGAAATCACCACATATTACGTAATGCAGCCGTGCTTTAGACAATTAAGACAGGGAGCTAATAGTTACTGACACTCCTGACTACACATTATTCACATGAGATACACTTTTTAGAAATAAATAACACATTTTTGAAAGTAAAACATTTCATGCCAAGTCTCTACATGCATGATTGGTGTAATATACGGTTTTACACGCTCGGTGAAACACTAACCATTAAGCATCCAACTGCTTTCACTCCGAGATAAATCTCCTTAGAATAAGTTATGCTGGAAAATTAAAAGCAATCATTTAAACGCAAAAGACAATTGATTAATTGATTGATTCTAATGGCACGTTGTAGAATAATGGGGTATATACAATCACACAATGTAACGTACCGGTATATCTCTAAATGATGATGAACCTTAACGTCCTTACAGACTCCTGTCTCTACCTAGCCCTCAGAGGTAGAAAACTATAATTAAAGAAGACATTTATGAATCAATATCACAGTCGAAGAAAAATCTGTGCGAACACAGGAAGATGTTCATTCACCACACCATTCAGTAGCAATTCACTTTTAATCAACAACTGTTTATAGATATTTGTCAATAGGCTGCAGCACCGTCGGTGATACTTCGCTGTTTACAGTGTTGGCCACCCGCTTTGTGTGCAATTTATTTGTGTATTTGTAATACAGACTTGACATTTAATATGGAATATTTCAGTTTTAAAGGTATACCTAGGTAGAAATGCGTTCTTTTTCATAAAACTCAGATCTCATATAAGACATCTGACTGGAGAAGTNTGGATGTCAAGATTTAATCGTGTTGAGCAGCACTTTAGATGGCAAATAAACACAACTAAAGATTGCCATTTTAATTATTAAAATACCGTTTTAACATGTTTTTTTTTTGTTGTTGTTTTTGTTTTTTTTTGCCTGGTCTTTCTAGTGTAAAGCTTACACATATAAAAGTCAGCTATAACATGTTTTTCCCTTCATTTCAGCACGAGTACACGGGGTGTAGCATGAACCCAGCCCGTAGTTTGGGACCAGCTTTGATATCAGACACGTGGACAAACCACTGGGTAAAACGAGTGACCAGTCAGAGGCGTTTCCATTTGTGTTAGCCGCCCTTAGCGTTGTCTGTCTTTGTGAATATTAGAACACTAACTTTTGGTCAGCTGTTGGTTTGGCATATCTAATTGGTTTCTGTTGATAGACAACTCTCTTTTCAGTCAAGCATACATATAATTGATTATCAAAAAGGCAAATGCAGCCTTAAATATAAAATATTCGATCGAGTGCATAAACTTTTATCTGTAATAAAATAACATTTACAACATCATTTATTAGGAATATATTCTAACCGTTCTTTATATACTGTTTCCAGGTGTATTGGGTCGGACCCCTGGTTGGCGGTCTGATTGCAGGCTTTTTATACGAGTTTATCTTCGCTGAGGACGCTTCGGTGAAAAAGCTGAAGAGATACTTAGCGTGTCGATGCCGCTCCCTTTTAGAGGAGGGTGAGGAATCAAGTTGTACTAACAAAGAAGAAGATTTCCAAAACAATGACAGTGATTTTAAGCCTGTTGAGTTCAGAGGGTACCAAAATCACGCTTACATTGAATCTACCCATTTTTGATTCTCTGTAGCTTTTTGTTTGACTGGTTCTCTGAGAGACCCAAACCCGTCATCACATTTTAACATCACGTGATTAAGCTACGTGGTCAGTTCTGAATACGGCCATGGATGCACTTTCGATGCGGGACTTAAGACATCATGAAGGTAGAGGATATCTTTCCCGTACTCCATGCTGTAAACCAGCTTAGTGATGACAATATTCCATACATAATTTCGTGTTGGACAGTGCATAAACCAGACACCTTACTGTGAACATCTTGAAAAAAATCAATCTGTGGTCCTGCCAAAAGGAATCTTGCCCCTCTCAGATGTTTCAGACAAGTCATTTTCCTCATATGAGCGAAGAACGTGAATAGATAAATTATGTGCCTGTGGTCACATGGACAACTTGAAGTGTAAAGAGCACTTCTTTCTCTCTCTCAATGATTCAAACTGAAGGAAAACAAAGTTCAATCCGGACCAAAAAGCAGACGTTCATTAATGTTGTGTTTTGTATATCATATTGTGTCTTGTAGTATATTGTTGTTTGACAGGAATTAAACTGCTGTAAGTATTGATTGCGTGTCTTTATTAACTGACGTGTATAAAATGGTTCTCAGCTACTCACGGATTCGGCTCCACAGTAACCATAAAATAAGTAGGCCTATATATATGTAGTTGAATGGATCCCCATCAGACTATTGTTAATGTACTGAATACGCAGAAATAAAGGGGAGTACCTCTCCAGGAAGGAGGCTATTCACCTTGCCTCTAGATAAGCATCGAATATTGCAGGTAAAAAACAATTCAATACAAACTCTTGAATGAAGGAAAAATACAGTAACTTCATTCTTAATATTCCAAGTCTAGAGTATTGCTGCCTGTCTCCCTCTCTCTCTCTCTCCCACTCTTACTTAACAATGAAAGCCAAAAGCCACACCTACACTAATGCACTTCGATCAAACTGGATATGAAGATCAAAGTCATTTCGTCACCACCAGCTTGCTGTTTACAACCTTCTTCCCCAAAAATGAACCATCAGACTGTTGTGGAAGAATTATAAGCCAACCTCTGTAGCAGAGGGCTTCCTCACATTAATGGCAGCCGAGACACCAACTATTATGAGATGAATATTATATAAAAAATATTAACTCAAAAACGGCTTGCAACTTAATCTATATACATTTATCTCAGTGAAATTTTAAGTCAATGCTATTTGGTTCGTTATTGATTGTCGATTGCGACCATCTCAACTGTTGCAATGTTGGAGTAGTACGGTATTAAATTGTGTTCACTGTTGTACCATGTCTCCCTCCCTCTCTCTCTCTCTCTCTCTCTCTCTCTCTCAGTTTAAACAAATATCACATCATATTAACAAATATTAGTCGTAGGCCTACATGATCAAGAAACGTAAAATGACTTAATCAGACTCTGTGTTTTTGACATGACAGCACGCAACATTCGCAGACAAACAACTGGAGGGGAATGTGTGTTTGCGGGAAATTACATTTCAGGAAGATATGCTTGTAAAGGCAAATTAGTTTACAGCAATAACTACATGCCAGACGTTACTGTTGCTACAGTAACTGTTGTCACAAATATGTCCTCCGTTCACAAGAGCAGCACATTTTGTTACATGCCGCAAAGTAGGGTCCTAGGCCTACAACGGAAGTTCAAGAACAAGACATGCTGAACAATATGCTTGCAAGTTTTGTTACTTTTAGCACACTGAAAAATACCAATTTGTTTGCGATAGTTAAGGCGGATACCGCATTAGACAAAGCAGCTTGAAGGTGTGTGTGTGTGTAAAATAGCACTGATATGGCATTTTCAGTCCATACACGCAAATGTCAGTCAATCACAATAAATGTTTTTTCTATCAATCAAGTGTTCAGTAACTGGAAATACTAATAGAGAATACGCTAGCTCATAATGACTTAAAAATTTGACCAATGATCAGCATGTTTAACCCACAACTTAAGAATTTAGTACTCTAGCTCACATAAGGTATGGTTGGTACTATATGCACAAGTACGTGCACCAAAGCTGGAGCAGGGATTACGTGAAATCATACAGTGGTTTGCAATTATATCACTGAACTGATAAATATTCAAAAGCTAGTTGAAATACTAATGGAGATAATAGAGGTACAAGTCGCTGCAAAAATGATCAATTAATAGCTACATGAGGTAAATTATTGTTATGCACCTATATAGGCCTATAAACGTATTATATTCATATTGGTATTTGTCACGCACAGAGGGTTTTAGCATTTGTTTGTGTAATAAAACACATATAAAAAAGCATAACTGTTTCTTTATTTTCTGCAACACACACGTCTCCACCAACATGGATGCCTGACATCACATGGTTCAAAACTCCCACCAGAGGGACACCACAATGTACTGTGTCACCTCCAACACAATCCAAATTATACCAACTCTAATTCATAACAGTACTGTTTGTTTGTGATGGCGTTTGTCGGAATGTGAGTCTAGGCTTGTATTTGTGTGCTAGTCGGTCTATGAATGTGTACGTTTTTTGTTAAAGCTTATACATAAATATATGTGCATGGGTAATTTACCTTTCTCAGTCGTGAATAAAATACAGGCTAATATCCCCCTAAAATAAATAAATAAATAAAGTACTCCTTTCTATATGATGTTTCCGAATACTAGATATGTACTAGAATAAGATACCGTGGTGCATGAATAGGGTATTTAGACATTGTCCTACATTCTATAAGTTTTTAGAAACATTATCCAGACAAAGAAATTCTACTGGAAAAATTGGAAAAGCACTGTCAAAACAAACAAGTGCTGCTACTTTTGCACTTCGTCGTTTTTGTGCAAATGACACGGCTATCGCAGAATCTATATCGCCTCCCCATGTACCTTTAGGTGCGCGTACTGAGGATACAGTTTATGCCGTCCATCCCTTCTTTTAGTGTGAATTAATATACTTGTAATATTCAGTATGTGCGCCTGTGTCAATAATTTGTTTTGTGTTCAAGCGCCGGTGATTTCGGGTGTACCTGTGTACTAAGTTTATGTGACACAGTATACAAATTTAACATAAAGAATATAATGAAAATATATATGAAGAAGACATGTCCTACTTAATAAAAATCCGATTACATGTATTGTTCCTATAATGCACTACAGGTATTCATAATGCATAGAATATAAAATGCCAGTTTGGTATCTCCTATCCTTTAAATGCTTAAGGATATTACAAAAGTGGGAACAAAGAACCCTTCCTCCGTTGGATTTGATGTTGTCACGTTTGGATTAATGATTCATTTTCTTTATGCAGAACAATGTCAACCAAATTCACATATGGAAAATAAAGCTGAACGTACTGTAGCAGTTCCAACAGTGTATATACATCCGGGCGTGGTGATTAAAGGTTTTCAGTATGTTTTATATTTGACCAAAATATATAATTTAAGGAAAAAAAGCCGAAATAGGTCGACCCATAAATTCACATGCTTGCTCAAAAACAGTTATGTCTACAACTGCAAGAAAATTCTGATCTTGAAAGAATCATTTTCTCGTTGTTTGAATGTCTTCTGCATCCCATCCCATCACATCTTCAGCAGGAGTGAAAACAAGCTGCACAGAACTGTTGCCATGGTAACGGACATCGTTCTATCAGCAGACGATATGGATCCAATGGTGACTCCTGGCGTGGTTACAGCAGGGGTCGTGGTGGCGGGGCAGGATACCTGGGGTAACACGTACGGTGTTGTGATCTGGAGACGTTGGATTAGACCTCCCTAAAATTAAAGATGCATATGAAGTCAATTTTTTTTTTTTTTTTTTGCATGTCTGTGAGTACGTATGTAAAATGCGTGCATGTATATTTTTAAAATATATTATATTCTGGTTTAGTCGTACTACAGTTAAAATCACTCGTGAAAAATAGCCAATTAGTAAACTTAATAAATGTATGTTATAGACCCGTAGAAACTTAAAATGAATTTTGAAAAATTGAAAACGCTTACGTGTCCATATCCGTTTATTCCAGCACAATATTGCGCCCGAGTAGAATTCAGCTCAAGATCTTGGAATCTATCACGAGTCTGCACGTCTTGCCAGTTGACCAAGTTTTCCATGACATCTGGAAATCTGCGTCCTGCGTATTGCGATGGTGCTTGGATAATCGCATTGAAGCCGTAGTCATTGGACCTAGAATTTTACAATGAAAGAGAATAAGAATTATATTATTTAAATCACACTGGTTTATTATTTTGTTACATGCACCACAGCAGCACAGTGGCAAATTACAATTATGTAAAAATAGCCAAGAAAACGTACAAATCTATTGAAGATAACAACCCTCATGGGATTAATCGACGTTATAAAACATCCTATTAATAGCTTTTTTACACAAACGGTGTCGTTGTTATTGAAAAATTTAAAGTTGAAAATACTTTGGTGTAAAATAGTGACAATAAGTTCACAATTTCCTGAAAGAGAGCCGGATTTATCATGTATAATAGTGCTATAAGCAGAGTATATGCACGTGCTTAAGACCCCACAGCTAAGGGGACATCGAGCTGCCACAGTTAATTATCTACACTAAAGAAAAAAGGTTAATTAAATTTAAAAATAATTATTTCAATTAAAGAAAAAAAGGTTAATTAAATTTAAAAATAATTATTTCAATTTGACAGACAGAAAAGAACAAAAAAAGTAGAAGAGCATATGAGGCGTTTTCACCCATGGGACATTTAAATGTGCTAAGCATGCTTGCCACATCCCCTGTTCCGGTGTGTGTGTGTGTGTGTGTGTGTGTGTGTGTGTGTGTGTGTGTTGGAGGGGGGCATTGTCCTGTTAGTGCCGAAAGTACTATCCAGAACAATGCTATATAGTTGATAGACTTCAGTCGGTTTGTCCAGTGTGTTTCAATTTTCAACTTTTTGTTTAGAATTTCAAGTGGATAAAAAAAATATTCTGATATCACTTACGCTGACGTCACTCCTGGAACTATTTTTATCAGCTCCGACTGCAGCGGTGCGCTGATGCAGTTTGTCAGGTTTACTCGTGGGTAATACATAATAAACGCCAGGCACATTTCTTCTTTAGTACCGAGTCCTCCCTGCAATGAATAGAATCTAAATTTTTGTATGATCTATTAAAATATTAACATTTTCAAAATAAGCAGTACCTCTCACAATTCTGTAAACTAAAACGGAATTTTGAAGTTACTACTCCCTTGTGTTCAGGATCAATATGAGATTCAGCTCAGCAATCTCTATTGTATTTCCACACATGTAGCACAAATATAACTGGTAGACGTTACTTGATGTATATGTACATGTATATCTTACCCACGTGACACTTGTTCGATCACTGCTTTTGTATTTGCAATGGGTGACCAAATCATCATTCTGGAATAAAAATCGTTTTGAAATTTAAATTAGATTTAATGCGAATACCGCTAAGTCCAAGTAGAACTCAAACCTACTAGTATATCGTTATATAAATATTTGAATTAAGCTTATTCAGAAAAATTCTATTTGGCACTAAAATTCTGGATATAGGTTTATTTTAAATCATCAGTTACTTCCCTAGGGATCCTACACTGTATTTTAAAAAAATGCATTAACAAAAAGCGTTTTGGGAGTTTATCAATGCTCGGGCTTCACTATTTCAATTTCATTAAATAGACATTTCAACAAAAAGGGTTTTCTTACCGGCATTATTTTCTTCGGTTCTTTGAAATACCTGTACTCCTGATAGTTGAAGTCGTAATTTTCGTCGTATGCCATATACGGAAGTTCTACTCCGTCCCGGAAGTGCCTAAGGTAAATTGAAGTTCCCGCCAAATGAGTGTGCAGCACTGCACCAAATGCATTGATTCCCTCTGGCACGTTTACTAAACCCTGTATATACATAAAGAGGCGTGAGAGGTTTCAATACCTTAGACGATATAAGGTCAAAGTGTGGGCATGTCTCCAAAACAAAAAAAGGACTTTCAGACTCGTTCTGAAAATGGCTCACTATGAGACCGTTTGTTATAATGGCAGCCACACCAAGCTAGTCTGTCTAATCTCATGATAAACAACAGGCAGCGTGATTTTATACATTACAAAATGTAGATGATTCCGAAATCTAATCTAAATTGCGTACAAATAATTTGTAACTATATGTATATAACATGCTTCGCCATTTCAGTTTTCCTTGCATTCGATTGTACTTGTAGTTCTATTGCTCGGATAATAGAAGTGTCTCAACTAATTTGGAACACGATATTTTGATTCGTATGCTCTTACACTTTCCAAACAGTCGGAGCACTGTCCCCAGCTGTAGAATTCGTCATAGTATGGTGGAATGACGTGGTTTCTAGAGACCATAACGCCAACGTCCATTATCCCTGCATCAAACTGTCGACGACGTGGTATAAAGGTAAAACGCACACCCGATGAGTCCACGTAATCTGAAATTATTGGAATCCAAAATCATGAAAAGGACTCACAAAACAGAAAAACCAAGCAATTATAAATTAGAAGAATGCACACAACTAAAGATACCGTGGAACTTCCATAATAATTTTACGTATTTTATTGTTAGGTTGTAATTTTTTTTACTTTTGAATGATGCATGTCGGACTCTATAGCTGTGGAGTTTTTACAGATAAATAACGACATGTGAGACAATGACTAATTGACCCTGTGACCATAATACCATGTTCATCACTCTCACAGGTTTAAATGATGTGTTCAGAAATTCTGTATTGGTTGCACCGTTGAAAAAATAGCGTCTCATTGGGGTTATTTTAAGGAAATTGTTTATCACGTAGACGGTGCATATAACTCTATTTTCTGTGGGAAAAAATGATTTGTTTGTAATTGAAAGCGAAAATACTGCTCCAACCATCTACATCTGTTCAAATTTCAAATATTGCACAACACATACAAAAAATTCTGTAGTCGTTTTTATTGAAGCAAAATTTACTCTGAGAACGAATGGAAAATTCGCTTTGGGCTGTAGACGTATGGCAACCACTTACCATTTCCCAGAACTGGGTTGTCATAGTGGGTTTCCAACAAAATAAATAAATAAAATAGTACATAATATCTCTGAGAACGAAAGGAAAATCTGCTTTGGTCTGTAGACGTATGGCAACCACTTACCATTTCTCAGAGCTGGATTGTCAAAGTGTGTTTCCAACAAAATAAAAGTGGGATCACCTTCACCTCCAAAAGGATAGCCAACATTTTCTGGATACACCTGAGCCTGTAAACACAGATTGATCAATTATTAATTTATACAGTTGACGCAATCGATAACTATACAAACAATTTATAAGTGATTGCAAAAAATGTAAAACAACTTCAAGTTAAATAATCAAAATATACACTCTGTTGATACTCACCTCACCTCCAATTGCCCACGCCATCAGCATTTGTTGGCATAATTCAAGATCTGGAGGCATATTTCTCCTCGCACCGCATGACTCGCTATAATTGGCGTGGTCAGTGAAGTTGAACTGGTGGTTGCAGGCATACACTATAAAGTGATGCACGATAGCTTCGTTCCCAACTTGAACTATCGGCTCTGCCTAGAAGATATAGGCATATATGTACGTACCGATATATCCATTGTTGATTTGGTTATTTTCGAATAATCGGACTGTCAAAGGTCAATTCTACTAAAGTTCCCAATCAAACAAAATGAAAAGGTTAAGTTTTCTTTTAAATATTTCATACTATTTAATGAAATAAAGTGCCATGGAGAGAAAAAAGAAAACGCGTCGTGCAAAGGGTACAAACTGATGATGGAATGATTCTAATTACCCATGCGTTTTGGTGTTTGTCATATTTCGACATGTTATTCCTCTTTGCCTTTGAACAAAAACAATAGTGTCTGTTTAATATATACTTAAGTGTTCAATGGAGAATTAAATCGTACCTTAATCATGTGATGAACGCCACTGAAACTGGGCAGCGTGAAGCCTGAACACCAGTATGTTGTGTCAGAAGTTGAAGGTACTTGAACCTGGTAGTATAAGATGCAGTGAGATTATATGTCAGTGCATGTTCTTAGACAGTTATAACTAGAACCAAGTATGTAGTCAGTCCCGGTATATACTTATTGAAAGGATTAGNACCCTTCTCCAAACCTTAATGTATATTCTAAAAAAAAACAAATCAGTGAACAGAAAAAAATCAGTGTTCAGCGGTATGACCAAGGAATGTTTCTGTCTCGCCACGCTGTTCAGTATAAGGGAGATAATGAACAGAAAGCGAATTCTTTATATTTGTTGGGAAATGTTACCACAAAATCAACTGAGTTCACTGATAATTATTCGAAAATCATTTTATTAGCTTTTGTGTATATATGTGTGATGTCAGCCGCCCCCTCCCCGCCCACTTTTTGACCCTTTTTAATCCCGTCAGAGAAGACAGACCACCTGCGCTACCCTGTTTTGAATGCAAAGTTGTTGATCATTACGTGAAGCCATCAATACAAGAAATGATAGAAAATACTTCTTTGAAACGTTTTGTTGGACACGATCAAAACTGAGACCTGTGGGAGCCAGGGTGAACCAAGGTGAACCAGGTAGAAGACGCTAGGACCACTACTGGGGGGGAATACCTGGCCTAGGACTGGTACGTTCCGCACGATGGAGCCACTGTGCCCGGGGGGAAAACACTGTGCTGAATGAAATTTGCGCAGAATGTGTCAGCTTCGGGAATATTTGGCACTTGTCAAGATAGTGCCTGTACGGCAAAATGCTTTTAAGTTTAGAAAAAATACATATTTTTACGGTATAAATTTGAGCCATTTTATTCACGGACTGAAAATTAAAATAGATAAAATCATGAGAGGATGCATGGCAACGGTTTAATGGTTAAACGTGAATTTGATGAGTGCACACTTTACTTCTCAAGTACATCCATGTTCTTGGCATAAAAAAACATGTTAAAAATTAGGCACACAACAGCCAGACTGAAGTTATTTATAAGCTTATATAACACATTTTTTCAACATCAACGACTGAATCATCACGCCACCGAGACTCAGGTGTGAATGCTCTCGATAATATTGAGGGTTAAAAAAATTTCTTGTCCCGGAGGGTCAAATTAAACGCCCCCTTTTTCCTCTGACTCCTGTACTTAACGTATTTGACCGAAGGGGGCGTATGTTCCGAAGATGACATCTACTTTGTTAACATTGCCCGCCATGCTCATTTTAAAAGAAATTCGAATGCCGAGGCAGAAGCAGTAAATGAGAGTGACTATTTTGCTTGGAGATTAGAATGGGGACGGAAGACGTTATGGTGACAATATTAGATAATGCGTTAATAGGATCTACTGCATTCTGTAAAAACGATATTGGTTTGGGGGTTTTAAGGAGTAGCTCCCCAGCAGAGCAAAGGTATAATTTAGAAGAAGAAGGGACTACGTTTGGTGACAGTTACAGTGAGCTGCCCATGAAATACCACAACTGAACTAATGACGTGGGTGACATTATTAACAAGTATTGGGATTTGCAGTTCTTGTCGTTGTTTTATCAATTTTATCTGTCTATCTGTCTATCTCTGTATTTGATTTGCTTTATTTTTCACGTATCTATAATTGTCTGCTTGGTTTGTATTCTTAATTTTCTTATAGTGAAGAAAGGCTTTTAACTACATCGACATGGCAATGGACATTACATAGAGTATGATGAGGGGGGAGATTGTGATCTCTAACGGCGCTTCATTCTCTTCATCCATAACGTCATTTATACAGGGTGCGATTGCAAGAAATATGGAATTTTTACTTCCACATATGGTTTTGGTGACCGTATAGTGACCGACATTGACCATAACAGGATTGCTGGTCTTACATTGAAATTTGGCGCAAGATTTGTAACAGCTAGCACTGGGGTAAGTTATGTTTGTCTGTGTTGACGCACCAGTCGTGACATCTCTAGATATGTGGGTAAAGCATAAAAACCATATTCAACAAAGGCCGCGTCTTGTTACATGTTAAATGCATTGTGCGTGCCATTATCTTCCAGGGATGACCTTAAAGGTTTTATCTGTCTTTAACGGAGGATGCTCGCTTTGATACTAGGTCTACCCCCCCTTCTCTCTCTCTCTCTCTCTATCTCTCTCTCTCTCTTCTCTCTCTCTCTCTCTCTGTAACACACTCACAATACCCTCACTCCCTCACTCTCATCCTTTCTCTACCCCCCGAACATACTGTCATGCCCATACTCACGCACACACACATTTACACACACACACACACACACATACACACTTGTATTGATTTTCATCTATTTTTTCGGTTTTTCAGTTAAATAGCGAACAGGAAAAGTAATTATACGCCCAAGACATAAAGATTAATGAGGCACAATAAAAAATAATGTGGCAGAAATAAGTCATAGCAAATGGGTACTGTTGAAGAAAAACCAATACTTATTCTGCTATTGACTTTTTTCAATCACATATAACATCGGAAAGGGTTAATCAGACACATCAGGTGTTGGTGGCTATACCTTCTCCAAGCATTTAGCGGACGCAAATATTCATTTGGGCTTTGTTCCGATCCTTTATAGTTTTACAGCAGTAGTGGAAGCAATTAAACTGTTAAAAAAGGTGACTTTACACTGAGATAGACGGAGGAAGATGGATGGTCAAATGCTTTATAACCGCTCAGTGAATCATGTATTCATTTAGCATCCTTTATATGACTCAATATTATTCCAACAGCAAGGAAATAGAGGTCTGCTGGAGGGGCAGGTTTTTAGCTGGCAGAGCGCAGATGACTCGGAAGTAGGAAGTTATGTTATGGTAATAGTACTAGCGGTACAGTATAAACGGTATATACGTACGTACTAGTAGTGCGATCCCCACACTCAAACTCCTGTTATACCGGGCTTGCGACCGCTTGGAGAACACATCTTTGTCCACTCTCACTTCTTCTGTTGAGACTTTGGCAATGTTTGATTGTCATCATCAAATGCATAGTCACTGTTCATGGACGTTTAATATTGCAGCCTTTTCCTTAATTACACATAAATAAGAGTGGATCAGAATTCTCGCCCAATTGGTCGCAACTCCGGTTTAACAGGCACGTGCACAGGGCTTGTATACATGTAAGCTAGTAGTATATACTGCACAACGACTGTAGGGGCATCCCTTCTGTTGCTGCAGGGTATGGAAGTTCCTACATGTAGTGGTGACACCGTGGGCACGTGCTCTCCCCCCCCCCCCTACAACATTGAATGTATCCAATACCACCTCCACCCCCACCCTCCCAAATTGAACATACCGGTATTACTGGGGTATATACTAGACAAGCAAAACGGATCTAACTATAAGCATTTTACCAAACAAGGCAACTTTTGCTGCTCTTGCTTACCTATCATCTATAGCAAAAACCAGGATTGACAGGGCGCTGAGGGGTTGTGGGGGGGGGGGGTTGTTACACAATCCTGAGTAATGAAACTGAGAACGTGGAACAAGGTCTGCAAATAATATGATTATCAAGGTGTTGATGAATTGTTATTTGCTACTAAACTGCTTTGTACAGTATTCATATGGATAAAAAGCATAAAAAGCAGTTTTAATCAGAACTTGCGTTGTATTGATCAAACACTTCTTTTGATTCTAGAAAAATCCAAAGACCATTTCTTATTTTATCTTAATGACAGAATTAGTTTAAATGAATTTTACGCTATACTTATCCACATATCAGTGCAGAAATTCTATTTATAGCCATCACTGTACGTCATGTTTTCCCTAACCTCGCGTACACACGCTTCCAATTCAACTGCGGAAACAGTACTCCCATATTAGGTAAAAAGGTCAAGGGAGGTCATGACCTTGCTCTCTCGACGTGCCAGTGCGTGCGTATCTGCGATCCCATTGGTTGAATTGCAGCCTACTTACGCAAATCACCAGGGAAGTAAATGAGCTGACTGACACTCCCATCAAATCAACCAATCACGCTCGAGTATCACGGTCATATAGATCCTGGAAGTCATAAAAGTCATTCATGAATGAGAGTTGTGTACAAAGTGGAGAGCTCCAGGTGATTTGATTTGTATATGTACATGCGTTTCTAGAGTGGACTTGGGAGATTTCGAGATTTAGTACATTTGTTAGGATTTCATATAAAAGGAAAGGAAAAAATACAGAAAGGAAAAGACTTGCTCCAAGGGAATTACAAACGACGATAAGCAAAAAATGTCATCTGGACAGTGACAGTAACAGGAGTTGTTAGGATACAAATATGCCGCACATTGAAGTAACCGTGGTGAGTACTGTTATTGAATTATTCTAAATGTTTAGTAAAAGATGTGCCTGTAGTTCTTTTCAATGTGAAGGTTTCATATCTTATGATCTTTTCTTAAACATGGAGTAACAAAGCATATATGGTGAGTCGTCATATACTTTCATTTTAATGAGATGATGTGAAATCCCGGTTTAAGGCTAAGTTTCATGTTTTAGCTGCGTAATAGATTTATTCTCACATTAATCACGGACTGAAATCAAAATGGGCACATTTTAATAAATTGCCTATAACAGTGTCCTAGATTTAGGTGAAGCACTGGCATTTATGTTGGCGCTCCTCCAAGAACAAATCGATATGCTATTTTGCAGGATTTTATCAAAAGCTGCCATATTACATTCGATTGCCCAGTCAAGAATCTGATGAACTTTGATATATTGCTGTAAAAAGTAGGTTTGGCAGAATTTCCATCCCGCCGCCCCGTCTTGAAAAGCAATTGCAAGGGCATGCCCAGTTAAATCAGAAAAAGTTAGATGAAAAATTGTGAACTAACTGTATATGATTTGTTCCGTTAATACACACCTTTCTGAGAAAAAATGAAATCAAAAAACCGCAAAATCCGTTAACGGATCTTATGTATTGGAAGCAGAACGTGATATGTTTCAAGTAAACTCTCCACCCTAAATGGACAGGAAAGAATAACAATGCTTGTCGCGCGCACGCGTGTGTGTGTGTGTGTGTGTGTGTGAGAAAGAGAGAGAGAGAGAGAGAGAGAGAGAGAACAAAATGTCATTTCCTTTGAGACCTGTCTACGACTTGGATTTCTGCTTTGCACTACCCGATTAATGTCAGTTGTTGTTTCTTGTATTGCCTTTACTTAAAAGAAACACTAAATGACAAGTTGCCTTTATTACACCGAGATCAGCGTTTTGGCCATTTATAAGCTACAGTTAGTAATAATAATGTGATATTTATAATGTAATACCTGTATTGCCCTACTTTTACAGATTGACGGTTCACCTAAGCTACCTGAAATTATTGAGCTTCGCGGTGTCCCAAACCAAGACTCGGACTCTGCTTATGCCAGTTCGTTGGAAACCATAGACATTGCAGACATAGAAAGCGGGGATATTAAAAAGAAGACAGTCACAGAAACACCTACTGTGGCGAATGATATTAGTGAACAAGATAAGCAATCACATCCCGGAGACAGGGCTGACTCAGAAGATGTGATGTTCGAGGAATTAGTTGAAGAACCTCCAAATGGATTCTTCCGAGGAGTAGCGATTATACAGACATCCGTTACTGAGACTTACGCGACATATAATATAGGCATATGGTAAGAATTGTAAAATATGCGCGAATGTTTGTGAATATGCCCATATTGTACATGTACGGTATAAATGTGCATGGTCTTGATTATTACAGTTAGACAGACAAGGTAGTGATACTTTTATAAAAAACCAGTGATACATGTACAGTGTCAATGACAATGTCAGTATTCCTGTTGCCTTTAGATAATTTTGCTACAGATATTACTGAGAATGCATCACATTATTGGCAATACAAGTATATGTTCTGTTGCCTGTATCTCACCTTACGTCAACGCTTTTTAATTTTAAGCCATCCTTTTCATTTCCAGGAGAGCAATCTACGTCATTCTCCTGGTTCTATACGCTGTCTACGTGGGGCTAGCAATGCGGCATCGTTTCGGAGACGAGGGTTCGGTGCGTCTGGTCGTTGCTACTGTGGTGGCAGCGGTCTTGGGGTTAGCCACGGTAATATGGCGTTACTGTGAAGCGTCACTGACTAGCTACATTGGTGAGCCTGTGATGAATTTCTTGAAGACTGCCTATTGGAGGTGGCTCACGATGTAAGTAGGACCTGGTATTTTTGCTAATACTAAACTTAGTTTATGGCAAGTTTTTAGTATTGCCATACCTACGTGAAAAGTAGTACACGTATCCGCTTGGTTGATTCAGACATTTAGAAATGACAGAAGCACTACTCAGCAAGTTTACACGGGCATATATCTAAATTGACTATTTTCAGTGGCAGTAAGACAATTTAAAAATAATCCGTAATGTACTTCTAAATAGTGTTTAATATTGTTAATTCACAAACACATTTTACATTCCTCATCTATTCAGAAAGCGTCTCGGATTTACTCCATAGATCCTCCTCCCTAAAGTTTCACCCTTATGCATTTCAGTTGCCTGTATGTGGCCTTATTGATCGCCCTTGTGGTCTACCTGGTGGTAGAAGTGGCCATACCGAACCCGTACAACCTGGTCTCCGCCGCGGGGATACTGGTCTACGTGCTTCTGATGTTCGTGTTCTCTCACAATCCGGCAAGGGTAAGACTCAGAATAAAACAAGGATAGCTTAATTTAGCTTACAGATCTTTGTTTAAAACCAACGCCATTTTCTTCAATCATAAAAGGAAGTTTCTAGAATCGCTGTATGAGATTTTACAGTCTCAAGAGTTTAAGTAGTTAACTTAAGTTAAGGTCTCTAGATATATTATGAGAAAACCCAGGTTTGTGATTTATAAATTTTGTCGATTGGGATACTTCGGTCGATTGCGTAACTCAAATCTAATGGCGTTGGTCAGCCAAAGTGAAATATTACTTCAATCTTCATGACAACAGAAACAGCGTAAGCATTGCGTTAGATGCGAAGGCGTGCACATTGCGTTGATCTGGGAAGGTGCAAGCACATCTGCAGTATAGAGCGCACCGTACCGGTAGCAAGTCATTTTGAGACGCATTATGCTGAGTCTTAAATTCATGTCCGACAGTTGGGACATGCAGTGAGTATACTGAGATTGTACTGCATTTTATTTATGAAGATTGACATTTTATCAACTATAATTACATTACATTCTAGGTGAAATGGCGACCAGTTATATGGGGTCTTTCACTGCAGTTCATCATTGCCCTACTGATTCTCCGCACGTCCTGGGGGTTTGAGGCGTTCAAGTGGCTAGGAGACAGAGTGACAGAATTTCTGGCTAATTCAGACGCTGGTGCCGCCTTTGTCTTTGGATCTGACACGTATATGCATCATTTTTTCGCTTTCAAGGCAAGTATCGAAATTAGGATTTATGGCAAGGGTAATATGTTTTATGCTTTTTTAACATGCCCTTCCATGTTCCCATGCACGTACAGGTCGCTCCAAAGAAGTTTGAGATTTTATTGATTCTACACAAAGTCTAATACACAATTGAGGTTTTAATCTTTTTGTCCACAAATCTAGCATTATACGCTGGCACTTTAAATGATATTTCCAAAAATTAAATCGAACATTTTAACATACAAGTACCAAGCAAATGCATGCATTTTCTTTTCATTCAATCGGTTCATGATAATTACTATGTTACTCTCCAGGTTCTGTCAGTAGTCGTGTTCTTCAGCACAGCCATATCGGTGTTATATTATCTCGGAGTGATGCAGGTGGTGATTAGGAAGGTTGCCTGGGTGATGCAGGTTTCCATGGGAACGACTGCGGGTGAATCTCTCAATGCGGCAGGCAATATTTTCATTGGACAGGTAGGACGGCTCAGATGTCCTTGATGCGCTGTGCTGGACAAACATTCTATCCAAAATATTTAGATAAAAAAGAAGTACATGTGTATTTGAACTCCAACCCCGTTGCTTTTAAAAATGACACTGCTTTTCCACACCCTCACGCATATTACTGCACACAAATAATGTCTGCTACCTGCGTATTAAAAGTAAGGCGTACGGAATCTGCCGCAGGTTCTCCTATGACGTCACTCGAGTAATAAAAAATGATAAATTAAAACATTTTCATTTCAGACCGAGGCACCACTCATGATCCGTCCCCTGTTGCCAAACATGACAAACTCAGAAATACATGCTGTGATGACTGGAGGGTTTGCTACAATAGCCGGAAGTGTGCTGGCGGCTTATATAATATTTGGTGTGAGTAAACTTGAACGAGTATGGGCCGTTTTTGCTTTTGCGACTTATATTGCAGTGTTGACTGTATCAGTGGATCACTGCTAGGTATATTGAGACTGAGACCGCTAAAAGGAGAGTGTGACCTATTTATATTCAAACAGTAAATGTGCAAATTTGTCAGCTTTGCTGTCTAGATTCCTTTTTGTTTTCATTCTTTTCACAATCTTATGAACGTTAAATAAGACGTGTCATATCCATTCAAAAACTACATTTCAAAAAACAAAATCTTTCATATTTGGTCCTAATCCTTGCGAGTGGATTCTGTAATTCGATTTTTTTTATTTTAGGTCCCAGCCAACCATCTTTTGTCCGCCTCTGTGATGTCAGCCCCAGCAGCTCTGGCAATGGCAAAGTTATTCTATCCCGAAACTAAGAAATCCAAGACTACATCAAAAGACATCCAAGTTATGGAGACACTGTAAGTTTTTTTACATGATTTAATGAAGGGATTCACACATTTGCTCATACAGCAGGAGACAAAGTAGATTTGACGTCGAAATTGAATCTTAACTCAAGATTTTTTTTACATGTACTTGCTTATTCTTCTCTCCCGGACTGCATAAATGCGTAATAGTCCCACAAAGTATCAGTAAACATAAGTTCTCCTTGCAATGTTTAGGTGATATTTTTGGTCAAAAAAGGGAAAGTAAAAGCAGTAATGTTCTAAAATTGGTTCCTTTTTTGAATCTGAACCCTGATAAGGAAATCGACAACACGTTTATAGTGGTATTTGGTTAATCATGAAATTCGCCGTTTCGAATTAAAATCGTGTATGGTCCGGGTCCATAATTTAACACATTTTTGAAAAACTTCATATTAAGTAACAGTTTATCTAGTTTAACTAATTAAAATCATTTAATGCAGTGCGTTTTTAATACGACATTTTGACTATGCATGTGCTTTGACTTACAGGAAAGAGAGAAACATCATCGAGGCAGCTTCATCCGGGGCTTCATCGTCCATTAAACTGGTCGCCAACATCGCCGCCAACCTGATCGCGTTCCTTGCTCTCCTGGAGTTCGTGAACGCCACGCTAAAGTGGTGTGGGCATCGCGTTGGGCTTGAGCCTCCATTGTATCCTGAACTCACGTTCCAGGTGATATATTGTTCATTAACTTATCAATATTATTGCAGGCTTTTCGTGTACACGTCCGATATTTAGGCAACTTTAACTTAAACGTAAATTAATAAACCATTTTGACTCTTTGTTTGTCAAGCTAAAATAAAAGTCACCTTTTAATTAAAATTTCCATGGTAATATTAGAAAGAAGATGTTAGAAATAATGCCAATATTACAAACGCCCTATTGGTATCTCTAAGGCTCTCAAGCCAACGATGTATGAATTCACAGACTTTGTTGTCCAGTTGTAAGCACAAGCTTACTGGTAGGCTATAACCTGAATATTATTCATTTATCAGAGAAATGCAGCTTTATAATTCGATATTTTCAGCATTTAAACTTAATTACATCACAGCATTTTCAGGATGTTACTTCTTGTCGTCGGAGCATATTTTGGTTTCTGAAATGTTAGCTTGCAATCAGTTTTTGTTCCATTTATCGTTTCAGTTGATATGCTCTTACGTTTTATGGCCATTTGCCTTTGTTATGGGAACGGATGCGGTAGATTGCCGTAAGGTGGCAGAACTGATAGGGATCAAGACGTTCCTGAACGAATTCGTCGCTTATGATGCCCTGGGAAAGCTAATTAACAACAGGGACATCTTACAAAGTTACACAAAGCAGAACTTTACAGAGGGACCGCAGTATATATTTGATGTCATTTTCTTACCAGCTACAAACCAGACATTAGTGGGCGGGGTGTTAACGGTGAGCGCTCTCTCTCTCTCTCTCTCTCTCTCTCTCTCTCGCATACAGTATCAACTTCAACTCTAGTAACAAAAACTGCATCATTTAGTTATTTGGCAGTTGCCTTGTGTTTCTGAGACAACTTTTGTTATTTTTAACGAGATGCTCCTACGAGATTATTTTAATTGATCATTTGAGTAAGGTATTCATTTAATCTTAGCACGTGCATGTTGAATTTCAGCCTCGTTCCGAAGTTATAGCAACATACGCCCTCTGTGGATTTGCAAACCTGGCCTCAATAGGCGTCCAACTGGGTGGCCTGGGAGCGATGGCGCCCTCTAGGAAACGTGACTTGGCCAAAGTGGTGGTGAGGGCGATGATTGCCGGGAACGTGGCTTGTTTCCTTACAGCGTGTATAGCAGGTTAGTAAGGGTGACGTGCATCCAATATGCGTCATCTTCAACAGGAAATGAGAATTTCAGTGAAAAAAAAATAAAAAAGCGCAGCTTACTAATTCCTGCGTCAATACCTCTTCTGTTTTTCAATCTGTTGTTTATTCCGTTAGAGAATTATGTGATCCAAGTAATTGGCGATTGTGAATATAACGGCAGTTACGAAGAATTTCCCAGCATTCAGTTTTTCATATTTAAACGCCCAAATAATAATTAATTGTATAACGATATTTATTGCAGCAACATTGTTTGAAATACAAACTCGGAAGGCCATACCTTTGTATTATCATTTTTACATAGAGTTTGAAGAGAAAAACACCATGAGTAAATGGTCAAAAATTATTATTCCAATTTCATTTATTTTATAGGGTTATTGTACACCGGTGAATCGGTGTAATGACGTGGATAAAAAAAATAAAGGTCGGGGAGCTGTAAAGGGCTCATTATATCCCCAGGGAATTATGGATAATGACACAGGCCTTGCTCCGAAATCTCAGGATACACAGCACGACAGACCACAAAGAAGAAAGGGAAATAATGTGACGTGATATTAAAATGACTTGTGATTATTCATAGGAGATAACTACAGCATACATGTAGCTAAATAACATATTGTTCTTATTATCTAAACACTGAAAACATTCCATTTAACATCGGTGTTTTTATATTCTTTGTTATTATTTTTCGTCGCACATAATTTATACAATAAATGGTGTGAGATTAAAGATGACGGTACATTAATTGTCCTATATATTCATTACACAGAAGTTCATTGATTGATTTCGTTATCTCTGAAATAAATATTTATTTGTCTCTTTTATTTGTATTTGTCTTATTTAAGCGCCGTGCATATATGTATTTATAGGCATCACATATGAATGGTACACTTTAATATGTCACCATTTTATAAAGACCTGTTCTGTTAAATCTAAAGTCATTTGAAGATGAATATCAACAGATATATATTTAGCATGTTTTCTGCTGTCATTTCCTGGATTATTGAGATTGTAATTTGTGTGTGTGCAAAAATCTTTGATCACCTTGGTTACTTGCACTTTTATTTCGCATGTACAAATGTTCTATCACGACAGGAAACTGTTACGCGACTTTTGGAGTGACATTTTTATAATGCGCACTAGAGAAAGAAAAATGCTAAAGAATTCCGAGGGTGTACGTGTACCATAAATATGAGCATGAGCAGGGGCGGATTCAGGTTTATTTGAAGGGGGGGGGTCCAGAACGACAGGCCTCGGATGCGAAGCCGACCATCGCCCCCTTCGCGTGGGGTTCAGTCCTCGAACATTTTTTGATGTTTTGGAGGCTAAACGGTGGCCTTTGGTACGGTTTATAGCTAAAACACAATTAGTCAAAATTCTAATTTCAAGAGGGGAATATTGGTTTGATATATTTTTCAGAAACCGAAGGCGGAGGAGGGGGGGGGGGGGGGTGCAGGACCCCCCTGAACGCTCCCCCCTCCTCTAATTCCGTCACTGATTAGATGTACAATACTTTGCTGAAGCTTAGAGAATAATGCTCCATGCATGAGTCATTCTATGGTCATTTATGTAAGCAATTAAATATTAGTTAATTTTTCATTGTTTCTGTTTATACGATATTGGAATATACTTTTTGCAATTAAAAAGGCACAAAACATTTCTTTCTGTATTATTCACTTAACTATGTACTGCTCCTACTAAACTAATCATTATTATCAATATGAACACTATCATTACTGGTATTTTCATTTATTCCGTTTTATTTCATATTTTAGGCTATTTATTTATTTATTTATTTATTTTATTTAGGCCTATCCTTTATTCTTCCCTTTTTTGTCTACAAACATTCTGCAAAGTTTAAAAATAGGCCACAAACCTCAAACGCAAAAAAAGATAATGTTTTCTCTTCTCCCCTCTCTCCCCCCCCCCCCCCTCCCCCAGCAAACCCCTAAATCTGCTGTTGCAAAGTTTATACATTTGTACATAGCGCCATCTTTCAGCAAGCGATGTATCGGAGGTATATAGACAGTCTCCTCTTGATAGTGCTGCCATCTGTTTCTGTAGCACAACGTGCAATGAAATGTTACGAAAACAAACTTTACCAGCAAGATGATTTAGCAAAAACATGCGCTGATAACAGATCGATATAGGAGATCTTACACAAGGTGGTCAAAGGCGTTTCAAAGGGCTCTCAGTGTGAAGGTAAACTGTTTAAATGTAAAACATAACAGATTATTTATAAATACTCGACTGCTATTTCTCCCGGCCGGCGTACTGCGCTCATTAATTATTTGACTTTGGGCACGTTTGTCTGTCACCTTGATCAACCATGCCACTGGATCTAGAAACCAGAAAAAAAACCCCTTAATTCACCACACTAGATTTGTCCCCAAAGTGAATTAATAACTGTATTAAAGTATATAATATTTTGAAAATGAAATTGCATAGATTGATTGAACGTGGGATATGAATTTTTTACTAATCCGATATAATTTTGATTAAACATATTTGTTACAGCAAATTTAGTTGGCTACAATGGCGACCTTCTGTCCAGCCAACAGTAGCCTCTCCAACCCCTGGGTTGACCACGGACTTAACCACTGCTTTGTAGACACCGTCACATCATCAGTTCTTTTTGGAATTATTACACTTCTTGGAGGAGTGGAAGTGGTAGCCTATCACAAATATGGAGCTCTAGCTGACCAAAGTACTTTACCAAAGTCAAATCTACATCGCTTGCAAGTATTTCTCAGTATTCTCATGGGGGCGATTAGTTTAGCCATGTTCACGCTCCATGCAACATATCTCGGTTCTAAGGTGGTTTATTTGTATATGGTGGTCAGTTTAGTATTTTGGACCTGGGCCTGGATATTCAGTTTGTATGTGCTCCATCTTGAAAGGACGAAGAAGTTGCCCACGGTTCCGGCGCGTGGCCATGGACTTGTTTTGTTGATGTTCTGGTCCCTGGCGTTCATAAGTGAGAATCTTGCACTTGTATCATGGTGGAGTCCAAGATGGTGGTGGAATTTTGAGAAGTAAGTGGAAATATTGTTTTATTTTAAAGATGTTTGAATAAAATGTTCCTAGGGGCTTACTGTATCTCAATTAGTGATTGAATTATTTATTCACTTATTTTTTAATTTATATATTTTCCTTTCTATGAAGTTAAAATGAATGTGATTTTGCTGAAAGTAAATGATGAATGCATTTTACTCTGGTACTTTGTAAAGTCACTCTTATTCATTGTGTTTAAAATTAATACGTCATATTAATCTACAGACATAAGTTATGTTAATCTACAGATACAAAAAAAAATCTTTCAGCCAGGGCTTCGTTAATTGTAGCATATATTTTTTTTCTTTTTTCCAACAGAGAGTTTAAATGATAAGGTGATAAGTTTAATGGAGAGGAGTAAAGTGCATAAATTTTAATGAAATTCATGTCATGTACTAGGCATATGATCCCATTTTGTAAGTAAGACTTTAGAGTCCTGACACTCAATGTACAGTTCCATTGAGCAAATATGACCGCAGGTTTCTAGGCCACTATATCATGTTTTTATCAGCAACTTAAATATGTGACATCAGATAGAAAGTAAGTGAAGCTATTTATAAATAAATTTGATGTAATATTTGTCTTTCATATGTATTTGAGCAGATATGATAAAGATGTAATGATGATAACTTTTTGATTTCCCAAATCAAAGACTGAATCATTGAAGACAAAGTTTTTTTTTTCTACAAGTAAAGTGTATGTGAACATTGTTTTCAGGAAACATCTGGCAGCATAAAATTATGTACAATTAAACAAGCAGGTTTATTGAATGTATAGCTTGTCTAACATATGTTAAACTAAAACAGATTTACTTGCATAGTAAAAACATTTACATGCAATAAACATATAGGAGTTCATGAGGAAACAAGGTGTCTGTGCTACATGAAGGTTAACCGTTTCTGCACCAGTGAACTCAAGTAACTTAGGTCTTAGTCTTTCACCTGCAGTCATGCTAGAAATAACCAAGACTCTTACTAGACTAAAAATTATCCCTGGCCAGTTAACAGATACAAGACAGAAACCACAAAGGGGTCATCCGCGTGGAGAATGACCCTTTGACAGTAACTATATGTGTCCCTTATCCAGTTACTAGTATAATACCAGTAGTACATTACCATGGAAACAAAGTGTATAAAACTTATGTAATATAAGACTGCTTTCCCACAGATTTAGATCGATCCATCTGGATCGACCTAACTCCCTAGGTGTTCACGCTAAAATTACTGTCAGCCCAAGAGGCTTAAATGTCTGTCACACCTACCGAATCAGCTAGGGTAAAGATAGTTACCCCCTAACAGCTTTACTAGACGTGACAGACATTTAAGCCGGCCAAGTTGAAAGCAATTTAGTGAGACTCCTCAGGGGGATAAATCGATCTTAATATCTGTGGGAATTTTCTCTAAGTGTGTAATGGTGCATATAAGTGGAGTGAGGGGGGAGGCACATGGGCATGTAGACCTCTAACTTTATAGCTTATATAGTAGGTCCCCTTGCGCTCCCTCCCCCACCCCCAAAAATAATATTAAAGTATATAATAAGTAAATGAATAAAAATACAGGAATGTATTTGTGACTTGCAAAGTGGAAAAAATGCCCAACTGCACCCTACATGACAAGTTACTTTTAAATGCAGTATTACTTGTATTATTATAACTAGAAAAAAGAAAAATTCTCAACCTGCACGTTTACTAGTACATAATACATTTTCAGTACATCAGACCGTGTGGAATTTGGTCTGTGGGTTTGCCGTTACATTTCCACTGGACTGTTGTTCTTCATTGGTCTATGTGCTCCCGGACTGCCCAGTCCTTCCTTCAGTCTGCTTGTTAACGAGGATGGAACGACAGATGTGGAGAGTGGGCAGGTAAGTAAAATACCAGGACTCAGTCCTTACGTACAGACACATCAGTTACAGTAATTGCTCTGTCTTTTCAAAGGGAGGATATTGTGAATTTTACAGATACAATATTTTTATTACATCATAATTTCTTGAAATTAGAACTTCCACTTCTGTTGAGTGGTAGTAACAATATTAAATAGATGGCTACTGTACTATACTGTGTAGTTGTATTCTATGCAGTATAAGTGCCACATATGCTATATGGAAATATAATTTTTGTGCTTATAAAATTTTGCACCTGAAAGTTTGATAACTTTTGCCCATTGAAAAGGTCAAGTATATTTTACTGTAGTTGTTGTCTGTACATATTAATTTATTGCAATTACTGTAGTTTCAGTGTCTGTACACATTGCTTTTATCTGTATTTTTCTATAGATGTATTAATTAGCTGAGTCAGGCCAGAGATCTGATTATTTCTGTTTCATGTATCATACAGCACACATCCCAATTCCCTACTTTACATGTACACACACTGGACAATAGAAGTGTCACCCCTACTGAACCAATACTTTGGGGGGAATAAATGACTGTGGAATGATATGCCCCTGGGATCATTTTATTAACATCAAATTTCACAAAAGAAACAGTTCGGACTGAACAATTCAACTGTATCGATATTCTGACATTGCTTATATTCCGCCTCTTCAGGTTAATAACTTTGATTACTCTGATTCAGGGGTGACACTTCTATTGTCCAGTGTGTGTAGTTTTACACATGTAATATTAGAATTAGGATAAGTACATGTAGCATCTTTGCTATTTATTTATTTTTTTTAACATTTGTGGCTGGTTTATCCAAATTTTTGATTTGAATGTCTGAAAATCTTGACCCAACAACATGATTCTGGCTCTAGTGCTTAACTTATGTTTGTTGGGATAATTGTGCATTAAAACAATTTTTTTAAACCTTGAAGGGCACATTACTTTGTTTGATTTTAGGTGAAATCATGATCCTTTCCTCCCCATTTTCATTTTCACAGAGTGTGACAGCTCTGAAGTGCACCATCTCTCCAACCACAGCAGTATTTAGAATTAACAAAGCACTGTCATATTTAATAGAATAAATACATAATATCTGCATTGAGCTTGACCTAAAATACTGAAAAAAAAAAAGAAAGATATGGGTACACTAATGTAGAACCCAGTTGTTGCTGTCTGTGTTGATTACCATTATCCATTAGCTGTCAGTGCTAGAGGTTGTCAGTTACCTGAGTGTGTACTGGTATTGTTGCAAGGAAAAGATTCAAAAAAGATTCAGATACAGAATGAAATTTTACAAGAATTTCTAGAAACTGTCATGTAAATTAGAAGAATATCAAAGGAAAAGCAACCAGTTTATAGTTAAACTACCTGTTTATACAGGAAATGAACATGCTGGAAAGTCGCATTTTTGAAAATAATTTTTTTTATATACTAGGCTGTAGTTTGTGAGACCAACTGGGATATTTTGAATAAGTTTAGGTTTCAGATGTTGGTTAAAAATGCTTACCAGAATATTCAGGCTCATATGTGTGGAAATAGTGGTGAAGACCATACAGAGAGTCGTGTGTTGTCTGGTTAAACCCTTCTGTTCTACATTAGCTGCGGTGACGTATGACGTAGAAAAGGTAAACCAAGAGAGAGCAGTATGTTGTAGGCCAAGGAGGTCCTTGGTTTGGCTTAGAAAAATTTGCATCATGATCAAATCATCAGCTGTGGGGTCAATTAAGGTCTTTTCTTATTTAACCAAATACTATTTTTCACCCAAATCTTAGATAAGGTAGAAAATGTTACTGAATATTTCTAAAATATTTTCAAGTTTTTGAAAGCAAATGTCATTTACCTGTGCTACATGTTGTACTGATATGAGCACCTGTCTGCAATAGTCACTCATTTAATTTTGTATAAATTTATTCTTTATCTTATCCCTTCCCTCACCCACACACTCAGCTGGGAATCTGTTTATCCGTTTAATTAATTTATTATTAGTTTGTTTATTCATTGTTTGCCCACGCTACTTAATAAATTACTGCAATTTTCTTTTTCAGCAGTCCTCCACGTCTCAGAGACAGAAGTCAACATGGCGGGGTATGCTGTGGAAGCTGCGCAAACTGTGGCCCTTCATTTGGCCCAAGAAGAACCCCTTGTTACAGCTGTTTGTCCTCCTGTGTGCCTTGCTGCTGGTGGCAGGGAGAGTGGTCAACCTGTATGTGCCAATTTACAGCAAAGATATTGGTTAGTGGCTCAGCTGTTCTTTTATTTAACTCTCTCTCTCTCTCTCTCTCTCTCTCTCTCTCTCTCTCTCTCTCTGCATGTGTGTTTGTGTGTGTCTGGCAAATGCAGAGATAATATGATAGAAGTGTCACTGTTTGTTCAGTCAAGTATGGTTCATTTACAACAACAACCCATATTGCATTTAAAGTTGGTGTATATATATATATATATATATATATGTGTCAGAATGAACCAAGGAGAGGCACTTAATTATATGAAGCTTGGTTAGTAATAGTACTAGTATGTGGAATTCAGTGTAATTTTGGAGTTTTTTCAATCTAAGACTTAAAAGATGCACTAATAATCAGTTGGTAACAGCAATTGTGACATAAATGCCTTCAATTTATTTCACATAAATATATTGCTCTTTCCCCTTCTCTAGTTGATGCTCTGACCAACCACCAGTTTTGCTGGCAGTTTATCTTGATATATGTTGGACTGAGGTTTTTACAAGGGGGAGGAACAGGCAAGTTATTTGTTCAGTTTTTTTTTTTTTTTTTTTTATTGAGCTTAAGAAACTGGAAAGTGTTATAATTTTTTATTATTTGAGAATGCCTGATAATGACTGCATTGTGAATATGTTGGCATCAATGTCAATGACAGGCACTTTTTATTGTTACAGTAGTTCAATTTATGGAAAACTATGTGACTTATAATCTCTGTATATATTTCTCATTTTTGAGGGTGGTTTCATTTTCTGCCGTCAATTTTTTAAAATCTCATTGAATTCATGAACATTTTTGCATGATTCCTGATCACCTTTGATAATAATTCATCATAAGACCTGTTATTATTGCCTCACCACTGACAGTGACCATTTCACCTCCCCTGTTCAGGATCGATAGGTGTCATCAACAACCTGCGGACATTTATGTGGATAGGCGTCCAGCAGTATACCACCAGAGAGATGGCGGTCAAGCTGTTTGGTCATCTTCATGGGTGAGTTCCCGTAGGTCCATCTGTCTGACTTTTGAGACTGTGACAATTTCATATAGGAGTCTGAGACTCGCTCTTATTAATGTCTGCTTATAATTTGTTGGATTACAGAATGCAGGCACTTAAACATGTAAAAGGATATTGTCAGTTGGTTTTAGTTTAATTTTTTGAAGAGGAAACCTACTGGTACCAGGAACAATTATGTTTTTTACAGCCATGACATAGCTAGTCTACTCCGTAGCATTACATCATATAATCAAAATACAACTGTGGCCCATATATTATCATATATGAACTCTGAAAAACGGTTAATATGCATCCTCATTAAGGGCACTGTGCAACATGATCCCATGTATATCATATCATTTCAGGCTGTCCCTGCGATGGCATTTAAACAGGAAAACAGGAGAGGTCCTGCGTATTATGGACAGAGGAACTACTAGTGTTAATAGTATTCTAAAGTGAGTACTTAATTTGTTTTTAATTTAAAATGAATATTGCACATAATTGAGGTTAAGGATTTTTCTCCTTTTCAGGTATTTAACAATGAAATCATACATGTACTAAATTTATAAAGCCATCTTGTACTTTTTTTTTTCATTTGAAGAATATCTTAAAAGATGTCAATTTTATATCTTTAACAATTTTAGAATTCTACATTTCTGAATAACACTTGCTTCAGCTTTTAAGTTATGTTGGCGTGGAATTTTGATTATTTCAGCTATGTGTTATTCAACATCTTGCCCACCATTGCTGATATTATAATTGCCGTGGTGTACTTTTTATCTGCATTTAACTGGTGGTTTGGGCTCATAGTTCTCTTCACCATGGTTTTATATCTGGGTGAGTAACCCTTCTGCTGTGTTTCTTTATTTTTATTATAATGAATTATATTTTTGTTTTTTTATAATAATTTTGGAGGGCNTTCTCTCTCTCTCTCTCTCTCTCTCTCTCTCTCTCTCTCTCTCTCTCTCTCTCTCTCTCTCTCTCTCTCTCTCTCTCTCTCATGCACGTGTGTTTGTGTGTGTCTGGCAAATGCAGAGATAAGATGATAGAAGTGTCACTGTTTGTTCAGTCAAGTATGGTTCATTTACACAATAACCCATATTGCATTTAAAGCTGGTGTATATATATGTGTCAGAAATGAACCAAGGAGAGGCGCTTAATTATATGAAGTTTGGTTAGTAATACTTATAGTACTAGTATATGGAAGTTTTTTTTTTAATTTAAGACTTAAAAGACACACTAATAATCAGTTGGTAACAGCAATTGTGACATAAAATGCCTTCAATTTATTTCACATAAATGTTTTGGTCTCTCCACTTCACTAGTTGATGCTCTGACCAACCACCAGTTTTGCTGGCAGTTTATCTTGATATATGTTGGACTGAGGTTTTTGCAAGGGGGAGGAACAGGCAAGTAATTTTTTCAGTTTTTTTTAAATTATTATTGAGCTTAAGATACTGGAAAGTGTTATAATTTTTTATTATTTGAGAATTTTTGATAATGACTGCATTGTGAATGTGTTGGCATCAGTGTCAATGACAGGCACTTTTTATCGTTAATTCAATTTATGGAAAACTATGTGACTTATAATCTCTGTATATATTTCTCATTTTTGAGGGTGGTTTCATTTTCTGCCTTCAATTTATTAAAATCTCATTGAATTCATGAATATTTTTACATGATTCCTGATCACCTTTGATAATATTTCATCTTAAGAGAACTGTTATTATCACCTCACCACTGCCAGTGACCATTTCCCCTCCACTCTTCAGGATCGATAGGTGTCATCAACAACCTGCGGACATTTATGTGGATAGGCGTCCAGCAGTATACCACCAGAGAGATGGCGGTCAAGCTGTTTGGTCATCTTCATGGGTGAGTTCCCATAGGTCCATCTGTCTGAGCCTTGAGACAGTGACAATTAATATATGAGTCTGAGACTCCCTCTTATTAATAATATCTGCTTATAATTTGTTGGATTACAGAATGCAGCCACTTTTACATGTAAAGGATATTGTCAGTTTGTTTTAGCTTAATTTTTAAAAAATGAAACCTAGTGGTATCAGGAACAATTATGTTTTTTTACAGCCATGACAAAGCTAGTCTAACCTGTAACATTACATCATATAATCAAAATACAACTGTAGCCCATATATGAACTCTGAAAAACGTTTAATATGCATCCTCATTAAGGGCACTGTGCAACATGATCCCATGTATATCATATCATTTCAGGCTGTCCCTGCGATGGCATTTAAACAGGAAAACAGGAGAGGTCCTGCGTATTATGGACAGAGGAACTACTAGTGTTAATAGTATTCTAAAGTTAGTACTTAAATTGTTTTTAATTTAAAATGAATATTGCACATAATTGAGGTTAAGGATTTTTCTCCTTTTCAGGTATTTAACAATGAAATCATACATGTACTAAATTTATAAAGCCATCTTGTACTTTTTTTTTCATTTGAAGAATATCTTAAAAAATGTCAATTTTACATCTTTAACAATTTTAGAATTCTACATTTCTGAATAACACTTGCTTCAGCTTTTAAGTTATGTTGGCGTGGAATTTTGATTATTTCAGCTATGTGTTATTCAACATCTTGCCCACCATTGCTGATATTATAATTGCCGTGGTGTACTTTTTATCTGCATTTAACTGGTGGTTTGGGCTCATAGTTCTCTTCACCATGGTTTTATATCTGGGTGAGTAAGCCTTCTGCTGTGTTTATTTATTTTTGTTATAATGAATTATATTATTGTTTCTTTTATTATAATTTTGGGGGACACAGCTTTCATTTTTGCAACAATTATGGTACAGTTAAATCAGAAAAGTTGTTCTTAGATTTAGAATTGTTATTAGAGGTGTTTTGTTATGATTTACAGTAATAAAATTATCTTTTTGTACTTATCACATCACTTATACAACTTACCCAAAGTCAAGAAATCACCATTTTTTAGACCAGGTCAAACAATTCAAAATGACTTTTTGGCATTACATTGCTAAGTGGTTGGTAAGGGGGGGTCTAGAGGAGGCTCTGTACCTGTTCTCAGTATAATATGACATCTACTAATAATTCTTTTGACTTGCAACATATTAGTCAGATAGGTTTCATTTATGCTAGATCCTGAAATTTTGATTTACCTGTTGACTGTTTCGTCTGTTCATTCTGACAGACTTGGTCACAACTGAATTACCTGTTCAGGTGAAGGACATATTGTACATGTAAATGTAATAAGGATGGAAAAGTTCCTGAAACATTTTATTAATTACCTGAGGCCATTCTCATTCTAGTTATGACTATAGTAGTGACAGAGTGGAGAACAAAATACAGACGACAGATGAATATTTTAGACAACCAGCGAAATGCTCGGGGAGTTGATTCACTGCTCAATTTTGAAACTGTGAGTTTGTTTTTAAATAGGATTTTCAATAAGCAATTATAGTATGTCCTGCTAAAACTGTGTAAAGAATATTACTTTTGCTGACTCGCAGTACGTTTAGGATCATTAATTGCTCAATTAAAAAACAATGAGCTCACAGTTACAATGGAAGTGTGAAAAAGGCTATCTAATTACATTTATTTGATTTTTTTTTTTTTTTTTTGACAATATTTGTGTAAATTTGTTTTCTTTAGATTTTACTTAGTATAATATTTGATTGTCCATACATAGAAATTTCTACAGACCGGGTTTGTGGTTATTGTAAAAGATGTAGGTTATTATTATTATTATTTTATTATTATTATTCAGGTGAAATATTATGGTGCTGCAGATTTTGAAGTAGAGAGATACAATGAAGCTTTTGTGGACTATCAGGTAATTGCATACTTACCAGTATAACAGTGCAGTGTAATTGAATTAAATATAATTGCTATTGCTCAAGTATTAAGCCACAATTTCATGGCAGATACATTAATATAAAAATTATTCATGTTGCAAGCATCATTTATAAGGCCAGTGTTATCTCTCTCTTATTTCACTCTTCCAGAAAGCAGAGTGGATATCTACGGCTTCTCTAAACCTCCTGAACACCGTCCAGAACCTGGTGATCCATGTTGGTCTCCTGGCAGGCTCCATGTTGTGTGCCTGGCTGGTGGCTGAGAACTTTAACATAGGAAACAGGGTCCTCACTGTGGGGGACTACGTGCTGTTTGCCACCTACATCATACAGCTTTATATGCCCCTTAACTGGTTTGGGACATATTATAGGTAATGGGATTATGGTGAATGAAAAAATTGAAAAAAGTTATCCCAGTAATTTTTGTATGGGTTGGGGTGGATCTTATCATGGGATTGCATCCTTTTTTTTTTTTTTTCCTATGGTTTTCTATGGGAGGATGAGAGGGTGATATCCTTTCATTATACCTTTACATTTAAATAAACAGTTGGTACAGAGTGAATTCTGAATGTTCCAGTACAGCTGAGGAAGAGGTACTTGTAGCAAATCACTCACTCAAACAAGACAACTTTTTTAAAAACTTTACATTTTAATATTTAAATTGAAAACAGTATTTAGTTATACAGATGTTCTAATATTGTTTCCCATTTAACTATCTTGTAATTATCATTTTTATTTATAAACTAGGATGATCCAACAGTCTTTTATTGATATGGAAAATATGTTTGATCTTCTACAAGAGAAGCAAGAGGTGAGCAGTTAGTTAATCAGTTGAAGGAGGGTGTTAGTTGTTTTACTTGAAACTGGTTCAGAATAGCATGTAAATGAGAACGGGTATTTTTTTTTTTTTTTTTTTTTTTTTTTTATTAAAGGTCCTTATATTTAAGTCTCTTAAGGCAGTTATCTAATTTAGAGAAAAAATAGACCTTTCACTACACAAATGAAAAAAAGCCATTATATGATCTTGATAAATCTTCTGCATATATAAGTAAGGAGTTGGATCACACGCATTTAAATTACTACTTTGATAGTAATTTGATAGTTATTCATGTGTGTTATTTACTTGTTTGTTTTAAATAACTTCAAATAATGTTGTTATACAAACATACAGTCACTGTACAGTGTAGTATTCAAAGCTGCATATACAGTCAATAAGGTTTACATATAAATCGGTAATTATTGTTAGATGTAGAATTGAGCTGATGAACATTATACTGATTTGATTTCTAATAGGTGAAGGATGTCCCAGGTGCCGCAGAGTTGGTGGTCACTAAAGGGATGATAGAGTTCAGCCATGTTGGTTTCCACTATGAGCCAAGGTAATGGCTTGTTTTTTTAGTCTGTAACTGTTTTCAAAAATATTTGATGAAGAGTTGAAGTTAAATTCTATACCAAAAAAGAAATTGGCTTGAATCAGAATGGGCAAAAAAATGGAAGTTTACTTTTCTTAAGAGATCTTCAAGATATTTTCATCCTGTATGTATTAGTACATATTCTTGGGACATGAATCAGGAACAGCAAGGTCACTTTGTTCCAGTCAAGAAAAATTGTAAAATGAGCATATATAAAATGGGCACTGTAGAATTACAAGAATTCTATTCCAAACATTATTATTATTATTATTATTATTATTATTATTATTATTATTATTATTATTAATATATTTTCCTTCAGCAAAGAGATCCTTAAAGATGTGACATTTGTTGTCCCTCCAGGCCAGACTTATGCTTTGGTGAGTATTGATTATAGTTGATAATTTTAAAATAATATTTTGATTTTCAATTCTTGAAAAAAACACAGTGCTAATAGAATTTCCTCATTATTAGTGGAGGTCACAGCATGAAAAGAAAAGTTTCATGATATATTAACATTTTTGTATCCTATGGCCAGAGAGTTCCATTTATAAACTAAGAACCACATATACATATGAATTCTTTTATCTGAAAAACTTAATTTTTAAATATAATTTACGATACATTTGGTGGATAATTTTTAATTAACACTGTGGATTTTAGCATTTTCAACAATACATTTATAAGTTTGTAAGCCTTCATTTGAAAAATAAATATATTGATTTAGTGATTTATTTAGTAATAATCTTGATGACAGGTAGGCCACTCTGGTAGTGGTAAGAGCACTATCATACGGTTGTTGTTCAGGTTCTATGATGTCACTTCGGGGACAATACGTATTGATGGCCAGGATATCAGCCAGGTAGGTAGTTTTCTAAATTAAGTCGTTTATCCCAGGTGGTATAATGCTCAAGACTTCAGTACGTTAGTTTCTGCTGGTCATTATATAGTGTATTAATTTTTATTTCTCTTGTATTCTTTTGAAATTATTTATTAAAAAACCAGTGTATTTATTTTTGGTCATTGGATACCAATTTTTAAAAATATAAATTATTTATCTGTATTTTTACTCACACCATTGCCATTATTATTATTATTATTATTATTATTATTATTATTATTATTATTATTTCCTTGATGAAAATGAGAAGGAGGCGCCTACATGTTTCTATAAAAAAAATTACTAAAATGACCATGTGTGTACTGATAAAATACATTTTAAACAGTTTTTTATACCTCACTCAGGTTCAGCAGGAAAGTGTGAGGAAGGCCATAGGTGTGGTGCCACAGGATACAGTGCTGTTCAATAATGACATAAGGTAGGATCACCAGTACACTCATTGTGTGAGGTCTGTCTCAACTAACACAATTGAGGAAAGTGTTATTGCTAGAATACCAATTGACCTAGTGTGTTAGCTCTCATAGTGTAGAGAGTCTTATCTCACACAACGACCATAATCCAAATCTGAAACATCTTCTTATTCACCATTGTCTTAAGCCCTTTTCACATCTTGTGATATGTTTCAGTAGTACTTGCTTGGAACAAGTCTGCATCGATTAAACATATTTGTGTATTCCAATGAAGATATTCTTTTTGTACCACATACAGAAACCTCTAGAAATGTTAAGTTTTCATAAAGTTTGAATCATTCTTTCATTGCTAAGTACTTTCTGGTATGTTACTTAAACTAATACAATTAATTTTATACTGTAGATATAACATCCGCTATGGTCGTGTCACGGCAGGAGACCCAGATGTGGAGAGTGCAGCAGCAGCTGCAGACATTCATGACAGAATTCAAACCTTCCCCGAAGGTAAGCTACTTGCTTGATGGATGAAAACAGGAAAGACTAAGAAATGATGTTTCAGTTTACAATGTTTCTGCTGAGGTTTTCATCTGGTACATGTACACCTGTCTTTGTATTTACTGTAGGTTGCCATAAATCCATGTTTGAAGATAGATAAACTGGCTAGTGAGAGATCTTACATAGTGATTTTGAACCAAAAGATTGTATGAGATTGTATTGTTTTTTTTTTTGTTTTTTTTTTTTGTTTTTTTTTTCGAAAGGAAGGCTTTTGTTTTAAACAATTTATTCTGCAAACTTCAACTGGATGTGAAATAAGGTAGTTTCAGTGTCTTATTAAATTTTTTGACTCTATTTATTTTGTCCATGAATACCAGGTTACAAAACAGTGGTTGGTGAGAGGGGACTGAAGTTGAGTGGAGGAGAGAAACAGAGAGTTGCCATTGCGAGGACGATGCTGAAAAATCCAGCCATTGTCTTGTTAGATGAGGTACTTGTAGAACTTAAATTTCACCTCATTTGCTTTTTTCATGATATTTATAGTAATAGCTTTTATGCTCTTTTAATTCAAGGTTTCAACAATATTTATTTAGAATTTCTGCTGAGTTGTAACAGAAGAGAAGACAGAAGTATGCAGTAAGGATAAAAAAAAACAAAAAATGTTCAAAAAAGATAATTAAGAGCTCTTTTTTTATTTTCTAGGCAACGTCTGCCCTTGACACAAAGACAGAGAGAAATATTCAGAGTTCTCTTGCTAAAATCTGTGATAACAGAACCACTTTGGTCGTGGCACACCGTCTGTCCACCATCATTCATGCTGATCAGATCCTGGTGGTGCACGAGGGGGAGATCATTGAGAGGGGAACGTAAGTGATTCAGAACCTCAAATTTAAGGGGATATCTTTGAGAGGGGAATGTAAGTGATTCAGAATCTCAAATTTAAGAGGAAATCTTTGAGAGGGGAACATAAATGATTCAGAATCTTAAAAATAAGGGGAGATCTTTGAGAGGGGAGTGTAAGTAATTCAGGTGTTCTAATTTAAGGGGATGTCACAGGGAGGGGAATGTGAGTGATTTAGCTAGTCAAAGGGGAAGATAGATATTAGTTTTGAATAATGTAGTGCTAGCTAACTGAACAACATGATGCATTGTGATTTCTTTATCTGATTACTGTAGGATTTGTTTGATTCTTGGACTAAAAGCAGATATATTCTCATAATTATACATGCAATTTGCTGTAGATTTTTCTGTTGACTAAGAGATAAAATGTTCCATTCTCAGGCATGAAGAGCTGTTAGCCCTGAACAAGGCGTACGCAGACATGTGGCACCAACAGAGATCAAAACTGGACGACGCTGGCGACGAGAGCAGTGGCAGTGGGTCATCAGAACAGGACAAGAAAGAAGAGTAGTGGTCAGTAATGGTAAGTTATAGCCTGACTGATTGTTAGTGTTTCTTGATAGGTTCCTTAAATTGATTGACACTCAAGCTGGTCTTTTTTTTTTAACAGTAGAATAATTAATGAATGAATAGGAAGTTGTCTCTTTTTGTTTTTCAGCTATTTTCAAGCTTGAAAGAGAGATGCTAAATAATACATCCAGTTTTACTAAATTTTCTCACAAAATAAAATCATCTATTTGAGTTAACCCTTATTTTCTTTTTTTTTTTTTTTCCAGCGTTTATATAGAAAATATAAATCCATCCAGTGGCATCCAAGGCATCTGTGGAAAAACTTACCATTTCATCTCCAAATACCAGTTTTTCAAGAAACTATGAAAATATATGAGATTGGTTAAACTAGTGTTCTGACGGTTCTTGCATGATTGCGTTGAGTGACACATGTGACCTGGGAGCGACGGCTGAACAGGAGACTGAAAGTGCTATTTATGGGCCTTACTCTAACATTTGGGTAATAAGTGGTTGGTAAAGGTTATACTGTCTGTAGTTATACCACTGCTTGTCTTGTATATTCACAAGGACTTCAGAATAAAATGAGGTCTTCGTCCTTTATTGCTTTTTTTATAGCCATGTGAAGAACTGTGAAGAACTGACAAGAACAGGATTTTGTTTTTAAAATCTTTTTGTATATCATACATTTTAGTAAATGAATAATGTATGAAAAACATATGCATGATGTTTTGAATGATGTTTGAGCATTTATCATGATAATTGTAACGGAAGTACGTTATTAGTGTGTGTTTTTGAAGAACTTTCTACAGCCATTTGAAGTGGACTTCTGGTCAAGTGACGCATTTACTCATGCAGAATTTACCCTGCCAATTTTCCCTGTATCAAGTATGATACAAAACATGTATGTTGTCTATATGCATTTATTATTATTGTTTTTTTTTTTTTATTAAAATATTTAAGCAGTTATAAGAATGTGTGATGCTCAAGAATGTGTGCTACTGTTCAAATTCAATAATGGGTTATAGTATAATAGATTGTTGGTCACTTTCTAGTTTTCATTTAATATTTTCATGGGTACTTTTACTTCAGGGCACTGTTAATTTCACATAGTTGGGACAAAGTCCATTCTCCATCAGAATTAGGTCTAGCATCTATATTTATGCCAACAGAAAGGTCCACTTTCTCAGAGAAAGAACCCTACCCACAAAGGCAGAGGCCTGGCTGTTGTATAATATTTATCCTTTGAAGACTTTGGTATTGGTGTTGTTTAAATGTTTAGGTCCTGATTTATATCCATTTTAAAGAGTGATAAAAGGTTGCAATTTTTAATATAATGAATTAAATTTAAGCAGGAAACTGATCAAATTATTTTCATTATTTCTGTTAAAGGGTTAATAACTCTTTGTTTTGGCCAAAAGATGATTTTTCCTTGAGTAAATAACAATTTTCCCAAACATACCAATGGTTAATGAATCCATTTTTACATTCAATGTTTGTCCCTGTTTTTTTTTTTTTTTTTCAAAATGTTTTTTTTTTTTTTTGTTATAATCTCTTAAGAGATTATAATCTCTTAAGATATTATAATCTCATTAGAGATTATAACAGAGTAAATAGCCGTCAGTGGAGGTCGAGTGGTCTAAAGACAAGCTCAGATATCAGAATAATATAGCTCTAACTGCCGTTTTTGTGGTAAAACAGAATATATTATATTTCCATGAGTTGATCACACTGTTTTTGTTGTGAAATATAGATTTCATACTAAGAGTTATTATTTATGGTTCTGGCAAATCCATTATATACTGTGCTATATAAGGTGGCATTAATTTTATTTCCAAAATTTATTTATTTATTTCCAAAATAAGTAGTGAAACAAACTTTACCAAAAGAAAGAATCAAGACCTGTTCATGCTGAGATTGATACATCAAGTACATGTACAGATTTTACGTCACTTTTAATGGCGTTTGAAGATGATGAATACGTCTCGTACAAGCACATTCGAGTCATGCAATAGTTTTGCACTTTAAAGTAATTAAATTTTGTCATTCAGATTTTTTTCGTCCAGAGGCTGAAGTGTCAAGCCATAAATTCGGATAGATTTGCTAGTTTTTATTGTAATTAAATANTTTAACAGTAGAATAATTAATGAATGAATAGGAAGTTGTCTCTTTTTGTTTTTCAGCTATTTTCAAGCTTGAAAGAGAGATGCTAAATAATACATCCAGTTTTACTAAATTTTCTCACAAAAATAAAATCATCTATTTGAGTTAACCCTTAATTTCTTTTTTTTTTTTTCCAGCGTTTATATAGAAAATATAAATCCATCCAGTGGCATCCAAGGCATCTGTGGAAAAACTTACCATTTCATCTCCAAATACCAGTTTTTCAAGAAACTATGAAAATACATGAGATTGGTTAAACTAGTGTTCCGACGGTTTTTGCATGATTGCGTTGAGTGACACATGTGACCTGGGAGCGACAGGTGAACAGGAGACTGAAAGTGCTATTTATGGGCTTTACGCTAACATTTGGGTAATAAGTGGTTGGTAAAGGTTATACTGTCTGTAGTTATACCACTGCTTGTCTTGTATATTCACAAGGACTTCAGAATAAAATGAGGTCTTCGTCCTTTATTGCTTTTTTTATAGCCAAACTGACAAGAACAGGATTTTGTTTTTAAAATCTTTTTGTATATCATACATTTTAGTAAATGAATAATGTATGAAAAACATATGCATGATGTTTTGAATGATGTTTGAGCATTTATCATGATAATTGTAACGGAAGTACGTTATTAGTGTGGGTTTTTGAAGAACTTTCTACAGCCATTTGAAGTGGACTTCTGGTCAAGTGACGCATTTACTCATGCAGAATTTACCCTGCCAATTTTCCCTGTTTCAAGTATGATACAAAACATGTATGTTGTCTATATGCATTTATTATTATTGTTTTTTTTATTAAAATATTTAAGCAGTTATAAGAACGTGTGATGCTCAAGAATGTGTGCTACTGTTCAAATTCAATAATGGGTTATAGTATAATAGATTGTTGGTCACTTTCTAGTTTTCATTTAATATTTTCATGGGTACTTTTACTTCAGGGCACTGTTAATTTCACATAGTTGGGACAAAGTCCATTCTCCATCAGAATTAGGTCTAGCATCTATATTTATGCCAACAGAATTAAGGTCCACTTTCTCAGAGAAAGAACTCTACTCACAAACGCAAAGGCCTGGCTGTTGTATAATATTTATCCTTTGAAGACTTTGGTATTGGTGTTGTTTAAATGTTTAGGTCCTGATTTATATCCATTTTAAAGAGTGATAAAAGGTTGCAATTTTTAATATAATGAATTAAATTTAAGCAGGAAACTGATCAAATTATTTTCATTATTTCTGTTAAAGGGTTAATAACTCTTTGTTTTGGCCAAAAAATGATTTTTCCTTGAGTAAACAACAATTTTCCCAAACATACCAATGGTTAATGAATCCATTTTTACACTCAATGTTTGTCTGTGTCTTTTTTTTTCCAAAATGTTTTTTTTTTTTTTTTTTTTTTTTTGTTATAATCTCTTAAGGGATTATAATCTCATAAGAGATTATAACAGAGTAAATAGCCGTCAGTGGAGGTCACATGGTCTAAAGACAAGCTCAGATATCAGAATAATATAGCTATAACTGCCGTTTTTGTGGTAAAACAGAATATATTATATTCCCATGAGTTGATCACACTGTTTTTGTTGTGAAATATAGATTTCATACTAAGAGTTATTATCCCTTTTATGGTTCTGGCAAATCCATTATATACTGTGCTATATAAGGTGGCATTAATTTTATTTCCAAAATTTATTTATTTATTTCCAAAATAAGTAGTGAAACAAACTTTACCAAAAGAAAGAATCAAGACCTGTTCATGCTGAGATTGATACATCAAGTACATGTACAGATTTTACGTCACTTTTAATGGCGTTTGAAGATGATGAATACGTCTCGTACAAGCACATTCGAGTCATGCAATAGTTTTGCACTTTAAAGTAATTAAATTTTGTCATTCAGATTTTTTTCGTCCAGAGGCTGAAGTGTCAAGCCATAAATTTGGATAGATTTGCTAGTTTTTATTGTAATTAAACACAATATAAAAATGGACAAGTATACAGGTACAGGTAAACTTAATGGAATGCATTTTCTAGAGAAAAATATACAAAAACATAGACGATTTAAAATGTGATGATATTACTGTAAAAAAATAATCCGTGTTCTCACTTTCCATTTTGAACACGTCGGGTTATTCCTTGTCTAAAATAAAGGAACAGTGAGGATGACTAAACGTCATCAGTTGCCTACGCTTTTTTTCGGAGACTCGCTTTGAAACCGAGCCTCGTCATCAACACGTGGCTGATTGGCGGAAGTGATTTGGTTTGAGACACGATATATGATTTTAGAGACGATATGTCACTCGCAATCTCTTCATTGACGCTTTCTTTTGGGGAAAGCACGCAGGCCTACAGTTTGTAAAGATAACAACTTGTGCTTTTAAAGCTGATTAATTCCTGGCGCGATTTATGACATTTGTTCGCCTATGGAGATCTAAGCAAAGCTTGTAAAATTAAAGTTAATAGGCTCTATGTGATTTAACAATATGATTTTCTTCGTCATTTCGACTACCAAAAAAAAAAAAAAAGGAGAAAATCAATTGCCCAAAATAACAATAATTCGTTTATATTTAAAATAAACATCTGTCTAAAATCCATCGGTCCTAATATTTTCCTGTCAAACGTACTGTTCTTGCTTGGTTCTTGGATATATATACATCTGTACATTGTATTAGTTAACTAATGTGTCACTTCTTGTGTGAGAATTCACAATAAAAGCTGCCTCCAAGAAGCTAACTGTGCTACGAATCGTGCTATTGATCTAAAAATACTTTTCTCCCGAAATGTTGTCTATAAAATTTTAGCCAGCAAAACGATTCCAATCACAGATGAAATATGGACAAGCAGCGAGGAGGCCCCGGAATCTGCCGATATGACACTGCTTGTGACATTCACCCAATACATTGGTTTTTCTTGAAGAACGGTGCCACTGAAATTAAAATAAAGATATGAAGACAGGTTCAGCATTCCGGGTCAAAAATTTTGCTGAAAAGTAGGGGGCAATGTCTTGCAACCTTCGAAACCCTGGATTTGTTGACGGTTAATTATTTTGAAACTAACTTCTTGTTGTAAAAGCTTATGTCTAGGTTTTGCTAGTTCTTCCAAATAGCACTTCTTCACAGATCACGATTTTAACTCAGGGATGTAGGGCCTACACCTACTTATTGGTGTGTAAACAATGCCTTGTTGCTAAGAAGAACTATTTAATCAATTTCGCTTTAGTTTTATAGGTGGATGACATTTGCTTAAGTATGATAATCAATCTAAGTCAATAGACACGAAAAGTTATACAGAAATAACGTGTTTAAATTGCCGCTCAAAATTGAAACTAGTTATAGGCCTATCGAGCGCAAGTGTCTCTAGTCTTACGCAATTAGAACTTCCTGACACATTTTGTCTGATCACAACTAACGCAATGCACCATGCAACCACACCTACGAGACATACTCCAAATACTCACTAAAACTGTACATTTCCAACTCCTGTGGAAGGTGCTGTCCACACAAATGTCATGTTGTTTTTGGTGGTTGACGAACTAGTCTGAGTAATCCCGTTGTTGGCTCCCCCGTCAGGACAGGGACGAAACTTGAAGTTGGTTGGAGGGGTCTGAAAGGTCCCTACCACCTCGTTGGTACCCTCCTTACGCGCTTGAAGGAGAAGACCCTTGAAATCCACCGTACCTCTAACGGTCACTGAAATTGTAAAATATTGATTGCTACATGACGCCAAAGGTGAGCCATTAAGAGACTTGTGTGATCAGTATGATTTGGAGCAGCTGATCAAACAACCTACAAATCACACTATTCATGGATCTACTCTTATAGATGTGATACTTGTGAGCCGAGCTGACAAATGTGTTAAATCAGCAACCATGAATACAGGATTAAGTGATTCGCATGACATGATATATGTTGTGTTCAANTTATGTTATTGGTTGGATATACATGTAGCAATTGATAGTGGATTAATAAGAGGCCAATCATAGATCATTAGCCGGCACGTTTTTTCACAAAATCAAAACTTATTTTAGCTATAGCATATGTGAAATCATTGCAAGTCCTACTTTAAGACCTGTCCTCCATCAAGTAAAGACAGGAATCTATTCTGTCAACGCCGTAAAGAGTCGGACAAAAACCAGTTTGGATCAAGATTACCTATCGCTGTTTAAAAAATAAGTGAAAATCTCTCGCCTTCCCGATTTAAATATCAGATGGCTACTTAAATAAAACAGCGCCCTGGCTATGAAATGATTACTGTATTTCGTATGGATTAAAGTTGTTACGTTGTTTACTTAAAAGGCGGATAATGTCCACTCAGTTCAAGCAAAAAGCCAACGTAATATTGTTCCTTTGACACTTTGTCCACAGCAATAAAGCTAAGCAATAATACAGGTTCGACTGACCTGATGACTTATAAACAATGGACATCTAACAAGTTAGAATAGTGTACAGGGTATATAGGTTATCACCAGCTTTTTGGTAGATGATGCTTATGTATTATAGTTACTAAAGGCGAAAGATCGCATGTATATATGATAACACAATCTTGCTGACATATGTGGGACACTCGGGTGGAAAATGCTATGTTTCGTATAATATTGGTTCGCTTGTTAAACTTGATTTATCTATTTATTTTTGGGGAAGATGGGGAGGGGTACCTCCAAAGCTAAGTGGGAGGGGGGAATAACCCGTAGCCCTTTTTGCCCACCCTCGGATTCGCCATAAAAGTACGCTGATGATAATGTCTGATAATTTGACCCACGTCTGCATATGTACCTCATCACTGATTTTAGACAAAACGTCATTGACCATATCTGATACTGGAGACTGGATTACAGACTCTCATCTTCAGAAACCGTGAACCTGTGACCAAAAGAGCCAATCCGTTCTCGAAATTTATTTACATGTCAGTTCCTCGTATCACTTTATAATCCATACGCGGTATATGTGTGATGAATTAGGAGAGTATACAATTTGGCACAATGATTGATATTATCAACAAGACAGCAAAGCTGTCAAATGTACAGACAAAAAGCAGGAAATAACAAAAAAAGGCTACTGTCAATTCTGATGCAAAAGTACATTATGTTAAACTGCAAATTCAACATCAAATTTTAATTATGCTCAACAGGTAATACCAATGTAAGTAAAATGTGTAACAAGCATAAGGCTTCAGGCCCACGTGAGTTCAAGTTCACACTTTGAAAATGTATAACTTCCAGAAAAAGAAGTCAATTAGACTGCTTTTCCAACTCGGGCTGCATTTTAGTCCTGTATTTCTTTTTTGAAAGTTTGGCAATCAAAAAAACATGGTTTTCCCATTATGGTCATCATGGCAGCAGCACCATAAATTGTGTTTTCTTCTATTCTGATGCAATATTACATAATGGTTAACAGCATAATGATAATAATAATAATAATAATAAATTTATTTTAAGTCTAGAATCCATTTAAAATGTTCAGTAGACTTTACATAAAATATCATAAATAATACTACATAAAATATCATAAATAAAATCTAGGTAAAACAGCCATTATTCCATACAATTAGATGCAATTAATACAAGATTTATGAAACCAATTAAGAGTTAATCAAAATATTTCCTAAAAAGTATGTTTTTTAAAATGTTTGGTAGACTAAATTGCTCGGATAATGACAATCAATTTTTAATAATAAAATATACGTATCATGGATTTTCAGAAAATGTGACTAGCATGGGTCTTCAAGCCTGTGGAACTTCAAAGTCACACCTTGAAAATGCCAATATGTGAAAAATT